TCGAACTGAACCCTTTATTTTGCTCACTGGGGTAGACTGTTCTAGTTCCACGTGCCATGTTTAATGGATGTCAGTTATCAGTTATCTCCTGTTAAGTTCCCTCTGAAAGTTCTCCACTGCCTTAGCTAGATCCAGTGACAGGACCCAAAGAGTGGCTAAGGCAGTGGAGAACTTTCAGAGGGGAATTAACAGGAGATAACTGATAACTGACATCCATTAAACATGGCACGTGGAACTAGAACAGTCTACCCCAGTGAGCAAAATAAAAGGTTCAGTTTGACATTCCAACCACCTGAAGAAGGCCGGAGTGTATAACAGCTGAAACGTTGTAATAAATATGGCGACAAAGATGAGGGCAATGAAAAATTTTATATTTGCAACATTCTAAAAACGAATACAATTAAAACAAATACAACGCAATATTTATCATTTACAAATTTATAAAGAAATAAATATGAGATTTTTTTTATTCATAAATTTATAAACATTTACTAAATTATTAAAATATGTGAACTGACAACAAGAAAATCCTTATTTATAAAGTTCAAATCGACTGGTAATTAGCTGATGTTTTATCAACATTCCAATAAGCAATCTAATAAATAGTATTTATTATTTTTTGTATTCAATTCTGAAGAATAGATGTATAAATTCACTTTATTATAGTTAGGCTTTATTACAATTCTAATCATCGTTTTTAAATCAATAAACATTGCCAAGGAGTGAAGGTAGTTAAAATAATGGCGGTGTCAAGGGAAAATCTGTTCTTTTGACACACTGTTTTTTTGCAGGCACAAAAGTCCACGTTTGCCAATTTTTAATTACATTTTGTGAACTTTTAACAACAAGCCTAAAAATATGACACATAGAAATTATAGTAATTTCATTAAAACCATGACAATGGAAAATTAGTTATTCCATAGAAAAAAACTGCACAAACGATGAACCCAAAGACATTAAGATTGTAATGTAACTGCTATTGGTAAGTAGAATTCAAATTCTGGCCTAGTCTTTTGGTATTACATTTGCACAAATATCATTATCATACCTAGCTATGGGTTAAATAGCAAGGTAGACTGGGCTCTCTAGCCTTCAGTGGCAACCAATATAAAATAATAATAACAATGGTTGTCAACTAGAGTTGATAGATAATCCTTGTTGCAGATGTCCACTTAGACATATTCATGTTTCTTCAACAAGCACAACGTGTGGCTTATATTACAACTAAGCTGAGCCAACCTTAGTTACCGTTTCTGGGAGAGAGAGCACAAAATCTGGTATGATGTCTTGTAACACTATGCCAGCAAAACCATCAACATTTTTCAAACAATCTCGTCTACATAATTTCACAAAGCAGATCAACCAGTAACATGGTATTCAGGCACTTCCTAACAGTGTTGCATGCTGGGATTACCTTCTCAGACCAATATTAATCATTTTACTGTTAAAATGGCTAGATGTAACTGCAAGTTCTATGTTGACAGTTTCTTCTTTTACACTTCTTGCCTGTGTATCTCACTTCCAGTTTCTTGCTTCCTATTCAACTCTGATCTTCCAAAATTTAAATGTAATGTCAATCCTTTGCCTTCTTAATTCTCATACTTTACTTTTTTTCTCATATTCTCTAACACTCAATAACCCTGTGTACCACAGTAGCTTTATTGCCTTGCTTGCATTGAAATGATTGAAAAACAAAAATAAAACCCTTCTAGTCAAATTTCTAGAAATTATAGTTGCTGGCATGTCTAAAAATGTGAAGCTTAGAAAATGAGGTAAAATTCTTAAAACTATGGGGAACCAAATATCCATTCACCCAGACAGTACCTCCCCCAATGCATAAAAATAGGGAAGTATAATATTATATCTTGATGACTACAGGATGATCAGAGTCATTTATTTGGTGGATACATGGTGTCATATTTTGTATAGACAGATATAAAATAAATATTCTCCTATGAATTAAAAGGGAAATGGTATGAAAATACCCTAATATCTGCTACAAAAGCAGAAGGAGTCAAGAATTTGGGGCTAAAACCCACATGGAAATAAAAGGGTCATATTTTTGTATGCAAATTAAGAATTCTCCCATTGAATAAAGAATGCTCAAAAGGTACGTACTGTTGGCAAAGAAACCTGGACAATCTGAAAATTTCGACAGACCCTTCCCCCATACCTAGTGTATTTTTTTGGTATCTGATGAGTAAGCAAAATATGCGTACATTGCACAAAAATTGTGAGTGTTAAAGGCACGGCCTGTTGTCTACAGCTTAAATGGACATTCTGTAATCTTTTGTTCAATTCATGTATGTCCACTTTAAAAAGATAATTTATATTTGTTGCCAGTATAGACGCAAATCTACTTCCATTTAAAAAATAAAAAAAATGAACTGGAAAGGTTAGTGGACTGATCTGATGTCTGCGGTTAAGTTGCCGAGCATTTGATTTCTACACAATAGACATCCGTAGTAAAAAAAGAACATGACCTGCTCTAAGGGGGAGATTAAAAATAACAACATGTGTATGTTCAGATTATTAAATTGACAGAAATAATTGAACCCATTAAATATTCATTGTGTTTGAAATAATAAAAAAAAAAACTGCAAAGCTTAGAGACGTCCCCTGATGTCTGCAGTTACACTTATGAGGACGAGCATTTGATTTGCACAAATGAAATTGAAATACATAGTAAAAAGATGACCTTGTCGAAGAGAGAAAAAAAAACAAAAAAAAACACCTGTATGCTCACATTACTAATTGACACAAAAAAATCAGCATTTAAATAACTATGTTTGTAAATATTCGATGTGCTTGTAAATAAAATTAAAAATAATAATAATAATAATCATCATCATCATTTCGATTCAAACTAGTCATCACGACTGCTACCAACATATGAGTAATGTAGGAGTTGAGGTCGGAGTAATTTTATTAAACGTTACAGTTGAGGATTGATACGTAATTCATTGGTCGATTGTTAATTAAATTTATCTTTTATCTTTAATAAACAATTATTTGCATATCGAATCGCTTATGTTATGTAAAAATGATTTAAAAAATTAAGAAAAAGAAAAAAAATTATGTTCAAAAGTCTGTCGAAACACGTTAGCAGTCTGGGACAGGTTTGTTTTCATTCGTGTGTATGAAATAAACAAAAGACATTTATTTATTTATGAATTACATATACATATATATATATCTTACTGGCTATAAGCTGTTAAAAATAAGTCAAATTTGAAATTAATTATAACTAATTAGAAAACCTGACAACATTAATCAACAAAAATGTAACAAATACTTTTTTCTTTTTCTCGTGATTTTTGTATGAGAGAAAAAAAAAAATAAAAAAAAAATAGGAATTTTCTTTTTTATAACGAGAAGAATAATCTTTTTTTTTTTAATGATTTTAAAAAATGGTTTAAGAACTAGTCAGAAAAATCTGATATGTTTGTTTAAACTTTAAAATATTTTTTAAATTCGGGTTTATTTGCTTCAAAAAAATCATTTGTCTTTAAAATGCTAATAATTTTTTTTATTTTGAAAATAATTTAAAAGAAATCATGTTTATTTATTTAAAAGAAAAAGAATTCAAGTTTTTAGTCAAACATGATTTTATTTTTAAAAATTAACTTGTTTTAAAAAATTAAATATTCGCAGAAAAACTGGTCGCACCTGCTAAAAAATGTATCGCTCGCTTCGTTTTAAACTAAAGTTTAAATTTATTATTTATTATTCATAATAAAAGTTTTTTTTAATTAATAAAATTAAATTAGACTTTTTAATCCCTTTATTTTTTTATTTTATCTTATTTTTTTAGTCTGTTTATTTAAGCATGGTCAAAAAAAAATTACGCCTCTCATTTCTAAGTTTTATTGCCGAAAAAGGAAAGAAAAGAGTCTATTTGTTAAAAAAGTACTGTATTTCATAAATAAATTTTAATCTCTTTTAAATTCTAAAAACTATGTACATTTTATTTTTTTTATCTGTTTAAGGAAACTTATTTTCTGTAATTTTAAATTCAGGAAAAAAAGATTTGTTTATTTTTAAATTAAAAATCCTTTAGAAAGTGAATATCGTTCTTTTAAAAACTTTAAAAATATTGACGTGAAGGTGAACTTGTTTATTTATTTTATCTAAAAATATACGATTAATAAAAATACTATGCTGTATTTTTTTAAAAACAATTTATTATTGTAACAAAAAACTTTAACGAAACGTAAATAACCAATTTTCATTATTTTAATTTTTTTTTGTAAATTTAGAATTTTTTTTTTTTTTAAGTTTATTTTTCATCCCCACAAAAAAAAACCCCAAAAAACTATAAAGTTTTTTTTGGAGGGGAATGAAAAGAAAGTAGTTTTTTTTTTGTTTTTTTTTTTTTAAATAAATGCTTCAATTAAATAAGGACAAAGGAAAAAAAAACAAAAAAAAAAAAACATATTTCCAGGAAGAACGGATAGTAATTTTTTCTTTTTTTTAATTACCAAATCACTTTTGGTTCTAAAAAAGCAGAAGATAGGTGAATGAATAAGAATTAAAAGAAAGATATTTTCAAATATTTTGGGTATTTCTTCAAAGAATTTTTCAGAAATGTATAAACTTTTTTTTTTTAGATTATGAGAAAAATAATTAAAACAATCATAAGAAAAATAATTTATAAAAAACAACAAAAAATGAACAGTGTTTTTTTTTTTCAGAGTATAAGACAAAGTAAAAAAAATACACGAGGATGGAATAAAAAGAGCTATTTTGTTTATAAAAAGGCAGAGTGAGAATATATATGTATGTATTTATGTATGTATGTAAAAAGTTTTACCTCCTCTCAAATAAAGAAGGGTGCTGAACATGGAAAGGGCGACGGGGCAAAAGACCCCCGAAAAAGTTCCCAGGGTCCTTCGGCTACCCGAATCCCTTCTCTGACCAATCGACCCATTCTGCGAAGAATCCTCATTAATCGGGGGGTAGGTATTACTAAATTCCAGACTGGCACTACTCAAAGAGCGATGGAGTCTCCAGATCCACTGCGAACGAAGAATCGGGGTGGATTCCGAATGGACAATTCGTGGATCATCGCCAAAGGAACCAGAAGAATTTCGGTTTCTCGAAGAAGCAAACCCGACATCGGGAGTGTCATTGTTTACAGCATACATTTTTTTTGTGAGTTGGATTTATTATTTAAGAGGCTAATGGTGATGATGAGATTAATAACAAAGTCTTTTGTTGGTCGATTCTGACTTTTCTTGTTTTTCTTCTTGTCATCTACGCTTTGTATGAAAAAGAAACATTGATTGACCAACCCGTGTCAGTCACGAGGCCATGACAGAGCCAAGGCGGAAGTGAAAGCCTAAAAAAAGATTGAGGCAGGGAACCCTACACACATCCAACAGCAGCAGCAGCAGCAAGCGATCTAGCGTAAACAGTGACAGCGCACATCGACTGAGTTTATCTCTCGACATTTTTCTCTCTTCTCTCTTTCATTCAATTTGCTTTCATCCATTTCCAATTCTATTGTCTCGCCTGAATTTTCATTCGTTTCCTTCCAACTTTCTTCTCACCCTTCTTACTTTCATCCAATTTTATTTTCTCTCTCTCTTTCACATTCTTCCTTTTTCTCACTATTCTCTTTATTTTCTCTCTTTTTTTCTTTCTCATTCATTCTTATCTTTCATATGACACATCATTTATTCTCACACTCTTTTCAATATTCTATCACATTTTTTCTCTTTTCTTCTACTTTTTCTTTCCCCTCTCTCTCTATCTTTTGTTCTTTCTTTTATTCCACTCTCTCTTTTTATCCTATTCCCTCTTTCATTCTACTCTCTCTCTCTCTCTCACATTCTTCTCTCCTTTCATTTTACTCTCACGCTCAACCTTTTCTCTTTTATTCTATATTCTTTCTTTCATTCTGCCACTCTCTCTCCTCATTCTACTATCTTTCCTTCTGCTCCCTTTCACCTCTTTCTCATTTTCAGTTTACTCTTTCTTACATTTTCTTCTCTCTCTTAGTTTTAACCATATCTCTTTCATTCTACTTTCTTTCTCTCACCCCACTCTCTTTTGCCATACTCTCTTTGACTTTTCACTTTTCTCTCTCATTTTATTCTCTCTTTTATTCTACTCACTCTCTCATTCTCTCTCCTACTCTCCCTTGTATTTTTTATTTGATTTTTTCTTTCTCACTTTCATTTTTTCCCACTCTCATTCTTACATGTTACTTTCTTTTTCATTCTACTCTCATTGTCTCCTCCCTCACTTCGCATTTATATTCTAATTTTCAGCCGACTTTGTCTTTCATTCATTTCTCTTTTATTTTGTCGTCATTCACTCAACTTTTAACTTTTCAGCTTGTTATCTCTTCTCTTTCATTTTATACTCTTTCACCTTTTCTCTTTCATTTTATCCATTCTCATTTCACTCTCGCTTTCTCTTTTATTCTACTCACTTGTCTCTATTTTTTCTCTTCTTTCTTTTTCGTTCTGATCATTTTAGTCTACTCTCTCTTTTAAATTTCTTTCTTTTCTAGCCTCAATCTCTTGCTTGTTTTTCTTTTACTTTCTCTTTCATCCGACTCTTGCTTTCATTCATTTCTTTCATTCTACTCTCATTTTTTTCATTCTTTCCCTTTTCAGCCCTCTTTCTCATTCTTTCTTTCATTGCTTTCTCTCTTTCTCTCTTTCTTTCTTTCTTTCTTTCTTTCTTTATTTCTTTCTTTCTTTCATTGCTTTCTTTCTTTCGTTCTGTTATTTCTTTAATTCTATTTTCTCTCTCTCTCTCTCTCTCTTTCTTCCTTTCATTCTTTCGTTCGTTCTGTTATTTCTTTCATTCTATTTTCATTCTCTCTCTCTCTTTCTTTCGTTCTTTTATTTATTCATTCTATTTTCATTTTCTTTCTTTTTTTCTTTCTTTCTTTCTTTCTTTTCTCATATGACCTGCCTTATCTCGTCAGTAACACTTTTAGTTTTTTTTTATCTTTTCCTGAAACCCTTTCCCCTTTTTATCTTCTCTTTCCTTTTCTGTTTTCTCTTCTTCTCCCCTTTCCCCTCCTATTCTTTCTTTCTTTCTTTTTTATTATATACCTTTCTTTCTCCTCCCCTCTCTCTGCTTTTCTATCGTTCTCATCAAATCTCTTTCTTTCAATTTTCTCTCTCCTTCTATTCTTATTTCTCCCCCCAGTCTCTCTCCATGTTCTCTCCCCTATTATTTGTCCTCCACCTCCTTTTTTTTTTAACTTTTTCTCTTCTTCTTGCTTGACTTAAACACAATTTTAAAATTATGTCAAGCTCTCAACGGGTTTTTCCCCCAGGAATTCAGACCCCAAATTATTTCTTTTATTTCACAAGTGTTTGTCACAGATATTACGATGAGATGCTATAATAATGAATGGTTACATTATGAAATCTGTCGTTACCGTCACTTTAAGTAAGTTAAGCTAAGCAACAGTTTTTAGTTTATTTCTTCGTCCCTTAAGGCAATGTTTTTCTAACCCGCCATTGATAATTGTACAGTATAAGTTCTACATGAGATATTTTATTAAAAACTATCTCTAGTTGGATACGTTCCAAACCCCCACCCAACCCTGCCGGGTGTGGCTTAAACTAATACTAACTAGTAACTAGTGTTTAAAAAAAAAAACAAAAAAAAAAAAACTAAATTTTCTCAACGATAATAAAATTTTGATTATTTAAGGAATTTAAAAAAAATTTTTTAAAATTCAATTTTTATTTTAGTTTTTACCTCTACCTCTCGCGTTTTCTCTTAAATTTAAGATTTAAACTTTAAATTTTAAAGTTTATTTGTCAATAGATACATACAAAACGTTTTTATTTACCTTTTTTTACTCTTGCTGTAATGATTGTGTGGATTACACCACCTTGTCTGCCAGGATGACCGCTAGGTGGCGTTCTATTTATGGGTATAAAAGGAAGGGACATAATTCTCCCTCTCCCACCTCGCTCTCTCTTTCTGGGATATGCTGGTGATGCAATGAATATTGACTCAGAATGAGAAATCGAAGAGTCGAGTTCGAACTCCAGTCGGGTTTGTTGCATCCATTTACGCGCAAATACCATTGGGAAAGGTATAAATAGATCTCCCTCCATCTATGGGTTAAATAGTGGGATTTCTATCAGGAGAAATCATTGTTATTTTCAAGAAATAGGTAATACAATATTTACTCGCATAAAAAAATACTTACAATTCCAAATATATTTCAACTTTAAATAACCCACAATTCGTGAAAATTAATGCAAGCAATCAACCCTCTCTCACTTGCATCGTTATCTCGTTTGTTGAAAAAGGGTATTTTCTTGTGTTGTGGATAAATTGTGATGTGTTGTATGCGCCATGGGTGTTCGGGTGTAACTCTAATACAGTTTCGTCCGGGGGCTAAGAAGTCTCTACCGAGAGGAAACGAGACACGTCTTGTCACTGTGTTTTATACAACGTCACCGAACGACTGTTAAGAAAACGCTCCTGGCAAACACGCTACTGCTGCAATGGTCACAGTACATGTGATACTTCTAACGGGACTCATGGCGTGATGTGTGCACGAGGGTTTCCAATTCCTCGTTTACTTTGATTGCCTTAGATAAACCTAGTGAGCCAGGCTTTTCCCTGACGATCCGCTTAGGTGAAACCTGGGTAGGTTTGTCTGGCTCACTAGGTTTATCTAGGTCTGCTCTACGGTTGTATTGAGCTCTTTTGTTAGTTAGTTGTTTACTTGTATCGGGGTTTTTTCTTTGGGCTTCAAACCTGTATCTGTGCGATTTGTTTCGACAGACTTTCATGTTCCTGACTCTTTCTTTTTTTAAAACCTTTTTTCCCTCGAGATTTATTTGATTATTGGCAAATCAATAATTCGAGGGTTTTTCGAAACGAGTATAGTTACCTATAAAAAGAGAGCTCAATACAGAGTAGAGCTAAATATTATTTATTTTAGGATATTAAAACATGTTAAAAATCGCTACATAATGGTAATTATGTTTCAACATTACAAATGTGTCTCCTCGGGCGATGTTAAACTACTTGCGAGTAAAAGATTATATAAATATGATAAATAAAATAAAGAACGATAGGAAATTCAATATAGAAAAAAAGAAAAGAAAAAAAAGCAAAGAGAGTACTAACCAAAGATCATAACATATCAGTACTTTCTCTCGTTGCTTTTTCATTTCTATCCAGATCGCTGACGAAGCTTTAATAAAAGTGAAGCATGTTAGATTGAGATACGTTTCCGACTTGTTCTTTAGTCCATTTTATCATCTGTTCGGATTTCTATCCATATCTGATCTACATTTGATCTCCAACTAATTATAACCAACGTTCGTTGTCAAGTTTTTTGAATTCTCATCTACTTGTATTTTGATTGGTCATTCCAGCTTATGTAACAGCGTTTTCCCTAGCGACGGGTGTTTGATTGATTTGAACTTTTTAAAACTCTTTATTCTACATTCAACACCATCACTTGATAAGACACCAGAAGTGTTGAAACAAAATGGTTCTTTTTGTAGAGATTTTATAACATATTTATGTTATAATTTTCGAATAAATAATTATATAATGATATTAAAGCAATTCACAATGCGTTGTAACCATACTGCGCAAACCTTATCTAGCTTTTTACCGACGACCAATGACTCCCCTACGTTGCGGAAAATGTCCGCTGCATGCCCCCAAGGAACCAAAGCTGAAAACTTGCACCACATCGAGAAACGATAAGACGAAGCTTGTTTCCAATATCATAAAACAGGTGTTTTTTATTCAGAGATTCGCTTGGTGAGTTTGTGGGAAAGTGACATCTGTGGACAACTCCTGCCATATCAGTCTAACAGCTCAACTCTCATGCTCACCACCACTACCGACTCTCCGATCATCTACACGTCTCGACGTGTGGCTGGCAATACGAACTGGCGTCATTGGAAACTCAGTCCACCGCCTAGGTCGTACTAAATATCCCCAACCCGCAATTCCAAGCATGACTGTTAATATTGACTAGTGTTTCCCAACCGTTTTTCAATCAGCGCCCCCCTTTGGGCACTACACTTTTGTTAACGCCCACTACCGTCAAATTACATTTCGAATATTATGCTGAATTCATCTTCCATAGCAAGATAATTCTGAGGTATTAGTGCAAAAATAATTTTAATATTGTTTTCATTTCTATTATAAACTAGCAGTAGAGCCCAGCGTCGCCCGGGGATGTAACAGTAAGAGATAGATCAAGTATCGACCATCATAAAGACTGAAAAATAAAATTGACAAAGATTATTGTTTAAGGTTGACGGACACGCATGTCTTAATTAGTTTTTTTTTTTTTTTTTTTTAACGAATTGGTCAAATCCAAACTCAAACAAAAACACCGTTTTCAATCGTTATGAGTCTACCGATTGAATAGAATTTTATTATAAACAATTGTCTTGTAAATGGAATTTTTAAAGCATTCTGAATGTAAAAATAAAGAAAAAAGTGTGCAAGACAATAAGAAACACTACCTGCCAAAAAAGTGAAGTTTTGTTGAAATCAGTTGAAAAATGTAGGAAATCCGATCCCATATATAAACACACACACACACACACACACACACGCACACGACCTGGGTTTTATAAGTATAACTCGATATGAGTTGTCCCCCTTTCATTCTCGCGACAGCGATGCCTCTTAATCGTGTTTTCAAATTGATTTCGTGCAAAAACAATTGTGTTTTTCCAATTTTTGGCGCTGTCAGAACTGCCGCAAGGTAATTTTACGTAGTACTGTGAAGTTTTGTTGAAATCGGTTGAAAAATGTAGGAAATCCGATCCAATATATAAACGAACACACACACACACACACAACATGGGTTTTATAATAAGTATGATGTCAATAATTAAAATGCTAAAAAAAAAATCAACTTTTATTTGATAGCTTTTCTAAAATCTTTCATTGCGATGGTTGACTTTTTTACTTAATGGCTAAGGCTCTTACTCTAGGTTCATTTGATAACTTATCTCAATGTTTTCATTGGCTAAGGCTCTTAGTCTAGGTTCCATGCTGCTTAAAATTAATCGTAGATCTCCTCGTTTTGTAATCTGCAGGCGGTTTCTGTAGTAAGAAGCTGTGTAACTGCGTTGAAACCACATTCAGCCATATGGGAAGTTGGAAAAGCGACGAAGAAAAGTTTGATTGCTTCCCACAGTTTTAGATACCTTTCAGAAATTTCCTTTTGTAGCCAACATTGAATAATTTTCTTAAATTTGAAAAAAAAATGGATAAATTCAAACCGTCCCCGAATATATTCACCGCCCCCACCCCAATGAAACAAAAACTTCCAGTGCCCTCGTTCAACATAACAGAGCCCACAAGGGAGTGCTAGCGTTCACGTTGGGAAACACTGATACAGACCAACAACCGAAATAATGAATGTACGGTTTGTTGTCACTTGACCCCAAATATTTTCTTTCACTTATTCGTTCTCTTCTTCCTCTTCGATCAAGTTGGCGACAATTACCCCCACCCAAAACAAAAAAAACCCTTCCCTTTTGAAGCAGAAACACTTGAGACCTAGATAAAATCACATTTTTCTCTTCGCGGCCTAATCAAAGGGGGGTTGCAGGTAAAATGAGGTGTGTGATATGAATGAAATAGGAGATGGTAGGAAGAGAAGACTATGAGGATATGAAGGATAGGCAATAATTGACCCTTGACTTGAAGAGGCTAAGATTGTAGTTGTAAAGGCAACTCCCATCCGGGTGTGTTTCACAATATAGCAGTTTTAGTTTAAAAGATGCTCTCTGAGAAATTTCTAAAATTTTAAATACTGTAGATGTGAGAGCGACTGAACACCATGGAATGGTGAGCTCATCTGAACATTTGTCATGGATAGAGTAGCAATAGGCTTGCAACGTTGCGCATGTAAGAAAGAGACTGCTGAGTGTAAAATAAATTTTACCCACAGAAGACGGAATAAACTATTATGTATTCAGTTATAAACTTTTAAACTGCAAATGTTTATTAATAGATTCCGATTTTACTTCCACATTCACACGCAGAAAAAAAGAAACATATTGGATTTTAAAATTAAATACACATAAACTAGGGTTGAATAGGGACTTAGGTGTTTTAAATCTTTATAAATATTTCAATAGTTAAGCAATTTTTTTTAGATATAGTAAAAAAATTTTTTAAATATTTATGACAGTTAGATATATGACGTTCCATATCACGTGACGTCCGCGTATCGCGAAGGACGCTACTTGCTAACAAACAGTAATTTTAATTTATTTGTAACTAACAGTTATTTCTGATGAAAAATTGAGGACAATTTGAAATATCAAATATATATATATAAAAAAAATAAATACTTTCATAAAATAAAACATTATAATTTTTAATTTGAAACTTTTTTTTATATATATATATATATATATATATATATATATATATATATATATATATATATATATATATGTATATATATATATATATATATATATATATATAATAACTAACTATATATATATATATATATATATATATATATATAGATAGATAGTTAGTTAGTTAATATATATATATAAAAACTAACTATATATATATATATATATATATATATAGTTAGTTAGTTTATATATATATATATATAGTTAGTTTATATATATATATATATATATATATATATATATATATATATAAAGTAACTATATATATATATATATATATATATATATATAAAATTTGGAAAGTAGAGATTGTAGTTTTCCCATATATATATATATATATATATATATATATATATATATATATATATATATATATATAGTTAACTGAATAAAAAGATAATATGTAAATTAAAATAAAATTATTTAACTCAAGTAGGGCGATAAGGCCACTAAGATGCAAAGGGTAACGAAGGATGAAAAAATCTGAGAAAAACATTATTAAGGAGAAAGGACAATAAAAGAACAGGACTTAAAATGACAGAAATGACGATTGACGTTACAGTGACATTTTTGAAGATAGATCGTAGTTGATAGGAAAGCAAGAAACCGGAAGAGAGTTAGACAAGAAAGAAGTGCGAGAAAATAACAGTTAGCATAGAACTTATGGTTACATTTCGCAATTTCAACATTAAAACGATGAGACCGAGCTGCCAATCTAGTACTGCGCTTACATTCATAAAGTCGAAACATCGAAGAGAAAATCTCATCAGAACAATTACCATGAAAATATTTATAAAAAGCGACAAAGGGGAGCTACGTTATGGCGATGGGAAAGTGACTGAATCCGAGATACCAGGATAGGACCGATAATATTGCAGATTCTTTGGATTTAGTAAAGAATCTCTAGGTACATATTAACGTAAACCTATATATATATTGTTTTATATACTAATTGCTTATATATATTGTATGATGATTGATTACTCAGACATAGTCTTCACAAAATTCGAATGTTTTTATCGTTTTCCATATTTTCTTGTGATTTAAATTTCCAAAGAAAAAACAAAAACAAAAAAAAACTAAAAACCACACAATTGACGGAGGTAATCAGAAACAGAAGTTATTTACATTATTTAAATTTGAACTATTATCCTCATCTTTGTTGCTATCGTTTCGACCGTTGAATCCTCCGGCGGTCATCAGGTGTATATTAATCCGAAGTAGCCTACAGGGAATTCCTAACTAAAGTCTTTATTTAATCTACGGGGCTATTCTGTTCCCGTTCCCCTGCCCATATTTAGGGATATCTCATTTAGGTCTTGTTTTTAGTACTACTCATTTATTGCTAGCCCGGTTTCCATCGAGTCCAAGTACACACTTCCCGGCCCAGGGATTGAACACACAATTAATATGTCACTAAATTCATGATCCAACGCAGTAATCCCCTAGGCTGTTGTTCCGTAGGACACCTGATATTCACCCGGCTGATATGTTGTGATAACAACAAGATAAGAATAATAACCCGGATGTAAATAACTAAAACTAAATAACGAATTGAAATACCCATGAAAATGTCATTGTTTTCCTATTTGAAATTTTTGATGAGTCTTAATTCTACAGTTAATGATTGAATAAGCGCATGATGACTTCTACGACAATAAAATATCCGTAGAAATTCCCCTATCGCATAGCTAAATATTTGAGCTAAACAACTTCAACAAAATATTGTAATAACAATGATAATTATAAAATCTGGTCGTTATTTTAAATAGTTACAAATAAAAAGATTGGAATTGACAACTTTTTCCATTTCTCTGAAACAGACGTTAAACATTTCTTTCTTTCTTTCTTTTTTTTTCTTTCTTTCTTTCTTTCTTTCTTTCTTTCTTTCTTTCTTTCTTTCACTGAAACCAAGTAGCGTCTTTGACGCTTTGATGTCTTTTTCGTCTTTCCACACGATCAAAATTAAATAATCCATTATTTATGAGGTATTGACAGGGCGTAGAGTGTTATCACCTGTTCCATCGACCTTTCTTTCTTTCTTTCTTTCTTTCTTTCTTTCTTTCTTTCTTTGATACCAAGTAGCGTCTCCAATATGTCTTTTCTATCTTTCCACACAATCAAAAACGGAATATTCCATTATTTATGAGACATTGGCAGGGCATAATTTTCGTCCTCACTAAATAACTAATGAAAGCGAGAGCAGAATTATAATAATAATGAGAACTCCGCACCCCAGAAATTCAGACAAGAGAAATTGAAGCATCATACTGCTATGAAATCGAATCTATGATGACATGCCAGATTTCTAACATAAGATTGTCCTTTGTATTTTTACGGTCAAGTGTTGATCAGCTGAGTGTCATCGTGGGAGGAAATCACTTGAAGATGAACCGCAAACAGGACGGTCTTTAGAAGCAATCTTATTGGAAAAAATAGCATTGGTCGAAAGATAATAGAAAAATAAACTAAATATAGGTTTCCTGGTGCCATTGTCACTCAGAAGATTGGTCTCAAAGCTTTTGAAACACCATTCATATATTATAAACTGATTTGTTCATACCAGTGACCTTATTTTGATTGTTATGTTCGCAACGTTCCGGCAGTTTTGATCTTCCTTCTTTTTTTAAAATTTTTTTTTAAGGTACCTGCCACAAATGAAATGCTTCCGAGACTTTAAAAAAAAAAACGAAATCTTTATTTTAACCATCATTTTATTTTCACCACTACAGATCGGACATTAACCCTTTCTTCTGTCACAATAGACGGTTGTACTCTCAATGAGTGGCCAGGCTTTAAATGTCTGTTGAGACTCAAATTCATTCTAGATCCCAAGTGGAATTCAAGGATACGCCATGCAATATCCGTTTTGGAGTGTTAGTCTGATGTTGAAAATGGATTGCTTTGCAGAGCTGAGATCGTTCAAACAACTCAAGAGGCGGTGGGGAGGGATAACTGGCTTCAATACCTCAAAAAAATAAACTGTCGGATTAATAAAAAAAAATCATTACATATATATATATATATAAAAAAAAAAATGGATTTTTAAAATTTATTATATATATATTAAGAAATGGACAAAGTCCGACAATTTATTTATTAAAGACATTTTTATGTTTAACATTCTTTTTATAGATACAAGTATTTAAGTAAATGCTCTGTTTATAATAAACAGTATTAAATAAAATTTACCGGCCTGAACGTCCGAGAAATTTTCATAGAAAATATTCGTCCTTTGATAGGATTCGAACCTGCATCCTATACGGAACCGTCATTTACGCTGACGTGCCTTACCGATCGGCCACAAAGGAGCGATCGGTAGGTAATGTCGAATTTACTGCTTATAAACTTCAATCTTCCATGAATCTCGTACATTCATAACTGCTCTGGCGTATCAAATGTAAACAAATGACGTCATATATTAAGAAATGGGCAAAGTCCGACAATTTATTTATTAAAGACATTTTTATGTTTAACGTTCTTTTTTTTTATAGATACAAGTATTTAAGTAAATGCTCTGTTTATAATAAACAGTATTAAATAATATTTCTCGGACGTTCAGGCCGGTAAATGTTATTTAATACTGTTTATTATAAACAGAGCATTTACTTAAATACTTGTATCTATAAAAAGAACGTTAAACATAAAATGTCTTTAATATATATATATATATATATATATATATATATATATATATATATTTATATATATATATAATAATAATAATAGCTGGCCACTCGTATTAGAAGATACCCGTCTACTAACGCGGCTAACCAATCTCTATTACAGAGGTTCACTCAGGCACATCTGTGTTTGTTCAACATCTACAGAAGCAACTTGTGGTGTATACAGCATTTATGCTGAGCAGATCTTAGTTACAGTTTCTGGAAGAGCGCGTGATCAACAGTCTGAACAAGGCCAGCACACTCAAACCCTCGGTCACGATGACTTGTGACTTCGTGCTATATATATATATAAATGCCTATAATTGGCAACAGAAGCCATTGGTTTATACCAACGGCTTTCCATACTTAATACTTCTCGTTTTCACTCTCGCGTGGTCATATGTGACGTCCTGAGCTGTGGTGCTATTTTCGCTTCCAGCATCTTATATGCACGAGTTTGTCGTTGCTTGGAAGTCTTCCGTGTAAACAGAAACAGACTATCATCACTGTTTTGTCCGTGTACTGCTTAATATATTGTAATGTAATTGTCATCTTTGATAATGGCTTATGTAAGCCGAAAGCTTAGATTGGATTAAAAAATATGTATCAATATTGTGATTTTCTTTCTTCATTTAATGATAATGTTATTAAGCTTATCAGATGATATGAAAAGAATTTACATAAAATAAATAGACAACACTTGTCTATATTATTTAATGAAACATGCATCAATATCTATCTATCTATCTATCTATCTATCTATCAATATATACAAATTTTTTCCTATTTTCATTTCTTCTGTCTCTTTTTAAATTTTGGATTTAATGTAACTATGGAAACTAAAACATTTTGCTTTCATTGTTTGCCTTGATAAAGTTGGAAGACGAAACGCATCGGCAAAAACTAAGATTTTTTTCTATTGTCATTTCCACAGAATTGTTCTGGGAATTTTACTATAGATATATTGATATAAATATAGATTGTAGGGATACAAGAAAAACAATAAAAACCTAAACAAATGCCTTTGTTAGTGCTGTTCAACAATATCTCTCTCTCTCTCGCGCTATCTAGTCCTCTTTCTGTTGTATAAACTCGAGAAGAAAGGACATTAGTCACGACTGATGTCATCTGATACCTACTGTGTAGTCATGTCAGGGTCCACCATGTAATTTAAACCAAAAAGATTATCGAAAACTTTAAATATCACTACGTCACATACAATTAATATAAAGTCTGTGAAAATAAGTTTTGTTTATCCGAAAGGGTTGGAATGTTATTAAAATATTTTTAAAATTATTCACTATTACTTGATTGCTGCTATATTGTTAAAAAACCTTTTTGAGAGCTTTGGACAGCATTAATAAAGAAAATAAAACTAACGAAAGTATGAATATTTAACTGTAAAAAGTGATCTCTTCATTG